TAGTTCGATTATGTTGACCATACGAGTAAGCTGAGAAACACCTTCATTACAGAATATAAATTTTCGTAACGATAGTCCTTCCATGGTCATGTCCAGTCAAAGGAATCGGCGGCTGAAATGCCCATGTGAAAGAACGTGCCTTAATTTCYATATTAACGATCGACCATGAAGGAAGGCCAAAAAACTTCGAAAGCAATGAATTGGAGATAAATGAACAGTTTTATCGTAATGGTATTCGAGCTTTACCAGAAAGATGAGATAAAGATGTGAATAGTGATGAACAATTTTTCGATCAATTCATCTCTAACCATTTCCTAACAATAAAATTTGCATTTTCATTAAAAAAAAAAAAAACAGCAAGAACTTAGTTGCGAGTTGAATAAAAGATATATGTATAGGTTTTCACCTAATAGTGGGCAGTGCCATGCCTACTGTCAAATTTTTGTTGTCTGTCGTATAAAGCCATTCCATTCCATATAATTTTCCCGAGCAAATATGGTTAAAATAGCATTCCAGGTTTGAGAGATTAAACTTATTAAGGGGTGTGGCCACACTGTTTCATATTAGAGTTGCTCTATATTAATTTACTGCTCAGTTATGGAACTTTATACACATCGATATGTATATTGGTATATCTTCTCGATTAGTTCTAAGTGCTGCAAAAAAAAACCTAATACTCTGCTAAAAGAAGTGTAAAAACTTAAAAATATCAGGGTACTCCCAAAATAAATAAAATATATATGTAAGTTATAAATTTATCACAGAAGTGTAAAAAATGTACAATCTTCTAGCAGCTACATTCATGTAAGAGGAATGCACACGTGTTTAAAAGCGGTTAACGCTSCAGTCGTTGGTATTCCCAAAATGTAGTAATTATTAATGATTATATTGTTCATTACTTTGATACCTAGATCTTTATTTTTTATTTTATTATATACTTTACGGACAATAAATCATCCAAGTAAAAAGTCGAAATAAGAGGATTTGTGTTTGTTTTGCTCTGCTTGATTTAATTTCAGTTTCTATGCTTTTAAGCACCTCAAAATTAAYTATTAGTCCGGTCGGCATATGAAAGCGTCTAAGCATTTAATTGGGAAATAGAAATCTGCTAAGCGTTTAACTCGCTGAATTATTTATATAGGTGTCACTAGTTATTAAGCATTCGCAATTGCTGTCATTTATTAAGTGAATTATATTATTAAAATTGTAAATAATTTTTATTGCTCAGAGTTTAATTGAAAAAAAAAAAAATTAAAAAAAAATGTACATATGTTTAGACTGAAAAATCAAACTGAAATAAATCAAAAATATCCCTTGAAATGCGAAGCGTACTTAGTCTTAGTATAGACGAGTTTTCGAAAGATTTATGTTATGTTTGAGATATATTAATGTATTCAAACAACATCCAACAAGTCGCCAAGTTTATTAGGAACAGCAAAATGGTCTAGTTAAATACTTGTGGTACATATTTTCCATAACATTCAATCTTTTGAATGATTCGATCTCTTGCTGACCTTAAATGTCCTCTAAAACAACGGAAGTTCGAGTAGCAAAATCAGTAGGCGTGGTTCGCCAATCAATCAATAGATGACCTCTTGGTGTTATCAGACACACTGAAAAATTTTGTTAAAAAAGCGGAATTGTTTGCAATGGAAGCCAGGCTACATTTTCTGTGCGCAAATGCTTGAAAATTTGGTTTTTTTTGAGTTATTTCAATGACAATTCGCATTACGTTAGAATAGCCATCATTACGGATTTCCATAGCATATTACGCTTAGTTTGTGAGTATTTTCAAAACTTATAAAATGCCAGAACGAAGCACTGTATCCAAATATACTTTATGATGCCTACAAAACCATACAATGATTTACAGAGGATGGTATACTTTACTAGTTTAGATAATGAGTTACCTAAATTAAATTCCACAAATAATGAAACAAATAACAACTCTGAGGAGACTTATTTTAACTATGCTACCAGCAAAACAAATATTATTTACAAACACACTGCTTATTATGATGACTCTACTTATTAAAAAGCTACGCGAGTGAACAAAAGCTTAGCAATATGGCAGAACAAATATAGCGCCTTTAAACAACAATAAATTACACATTGATACCATAATAACTACCAAAACATAACGACTACCGAATATGACAGATTCTTTACCTTTCTCGGTACTAGATTTTTTGTGGAGATGCTTAAACGCTAAACACTGCTGGTGGAACTCAAGTRCTACAAATCCAAAGGTATACCAGCTTTCCATTTTCCATTTCCAATGCATTATAAAGAATAATTTAAAAACTCTGTCAAGCAGTGAGCCAACATACGGGCCGAGTGATCCTTTCAAAATTCCTGACCTTTTAGATTTTGCTG